GGGTCATTCCACGATTCCACCACCGCTGCGACTTGCTAGGAACTAAAGCCGCACGCCTGGTGTCCAGCACGCAGGCCAAACTGCGAAAGATACAAACGAGTGTCCCAGGAACAGCGATGTAACTCGCAATCATAACCTTTACCTCTGAATCACATAGACCCTTACCATTCCACCAAGAACCCACGTTATCGGTTGGCCAGAGTATGGCATTGATTATGTTGAAGACATTGAGAATCATGTACCAGCAGATCAGGCTGCTGGCAGCCACGTTGCGATTGTTCCAGTGCAGTACCAGTGGCACCACGCTCAACAAAAGAGAAACGAAGGATATAACCGGGAGGAGTACAGCTTGCATATAGAGCGGATAGACCGGAGCTTCTTGAGCACTCATCTTGCGAGCTGGGTGGTACTAATTGCGTAGGAGATCTCGATCGAGCACAGCAGTCTTGAAGCTATCCAGCTGCTTTCTCTGCTTGGTACAAATGCGTGGGAGAATGATTATGGGCTCTTGACTGGAGTATGAACGAAGGAGGATGGTTGTGGGTCATCGTGTCGGGTGTAGCAGCACCATATAGACCATATGTGACTTGGTCTCCTGAATAAGGAGTAACAGCGATGTCTTATTGACGAAACCTAGAATTAGACAGGTACAAGGGCATCAGAGCCCTCACTGAGGGTCTAATTGAGACATTATCTTGCCAATCGCCGAGGGGGTACAGAATCAGAAATCAACAAAATGAGCCGGAAAGTGTTGTGACCGTGCTATAGACGCCGCTGCGCCCAATCGAATGGACAATTTGGGCAACAGCCATTTTCACTGAGTCTCAAGAAGAGTCTCAAGAAAAGAGTCGATACATCGATCCTTGCTTGAGAATCTGAATAAGGGGCTTTGGGAACACAATTGCAGTCATAGAATGGGGTAGTGGAGGAGGAGTTGGCAGCCAGGATAGACACACTGCTCCGTCTTCTCTGCGCCGACCTTTCCTAATTCGGGTCTCAAAAGACGCAGTCAGTCAGCTCCACAGCTCGCCTTATTCCTGCTGTCTTCCATTTATTGCACTCTCCTTCTCAACAGTCCTGTTTCATCTACTAGTTTGCTATTCTCGGTTATGACTGTGTCACATGACTATTTTGCATCAGGGATGCATCATGCATCTAGTGGGACTGAACTTCGCGGCCTCAAAATACTAAAAACCACCTGCTACGTTTTGTATACAGTACAGAGCTCTCGCTCGTGACACACTATCTCGGCGATATGCCAGTCCAGGTCAGACTTTATCGACCGCCGATTAGCTCAAAAGTGCTTGTGACAAAGAAACCACAAAGTACTTTGTCACCCCTGCCTGAGCTTAAATCGAGCTTATAATTACAGTTCCAAAGGCGCATGGATTGAACTAACCGAACCCGTCGGAGGTACTTCAACTTCCTCTTTGTCTCTGTATCTCATTGAGCATACAGTCTCAAACACCCAAAGCGGGCTTGTCTTCGGCTAATTGCTCTTTCATGAAGGGTCGTACAATCACTAATGACGACCTGTGCCAGGTCGGAGTCCCTAGCATGGAATAGCATAGAATGCCATGTCTACTCGCAAATTACACTCATATGTTCGACCTTGAAACAATCCCGAATGCTTGGTGTCCGAATCGATATTTCTAGCTGCAAGCCGCTCTGCTCAAAGTCGAATCCGCAGTCAGTGTTGCAGAGTCTACATATAATACTCGTGAGCCATCATTGACAGTCACTGCTCACGTTGGTAGAGAGTGCCAGTATCGCGGTAGGCATTCCTTGCAGTGTCCCTTCTCGCTTCGTTGCGCTTTGATCTTGACCTCCTGACATCGTGACTCTAAGGATTCTCGTTCTCAATCGATGCCCTCCTTCCTATAAACAACTCCAGCACCAACATATTGTGAATGTGATTGGGGGAGCCATACGAATCTAGTCCAATGGAATTTTGGTGCTGGCTGCGAATCATCAAATAATTCCGATAGCTAGTGTCTGTCTGTGCACCGATATGTTGAGGATTTCGAACTCTGAGATATATCGCGTTTGATCCCATAAGCTTGCCGACAAGAAGATATTACTTGGTTATCTATAGCCTGAATGGCATAGTTCCCTTCCTTGCAAGGATTGTCTTTGTGTCTGACTTCGGAATGCGGGGTCTTTATCCATGCCACTGCACCAACTCGTTCCGTTTGCTACTATCGATTGTGACGGACAACATCAATGATCGCAGCATACAGTACGTCATTGATATTGTTACCTAGTGGCCATTATGCGTCACTCAACAAATCAAATCTGCTGGTATCTGCTAAGCTAAATGATTTGTGCCCATGCTCTGATCTGATGTTTTGTGAGTCTTTTCTCCCTACCTCCACACAGGTGGAGCCCTGCGTCATGGCTAAGTAACCAAGACTTAAGCCTATAGGGACTAGTGCCCGCCCCCGGGCAGGCAGTGATCGATGATCGATTCGGGGTTCGAGCCAAGGCTGCTTTAGCGTCGTACAAGCAAGATACTCGATCTGCGTGCACTCCTCTCCTCTCCTCCCTTCCTCTGTCCCTGCCACTCTTTCTCCTCTTCCCTCCTCTGCTTTTCTTTCTCTTCGACTTCGCAGCCGTTTGAAACTACTATTGTACCGCTCACCTCGACTGTGCGATGTCTGACCAACCTGGCCCATCGCGGCCCCCCCCCACACAAGACCAGAGCTACATCAGTCCTCGCGTGCTCCCCCCGGATTTCACTAACCTTCGCCACCGCGGTCCAGCCCGCTCTGCAACCTTTGCAGAGGGCACAACCTCCAACCTGCAAACCCAGCGGCGTAATTCCACATTATCCGACTCAGTCTCGGAGGCTCGCCATTCGATTCGGTCTTCCACGGATGATATACTTTTCCCACGTGTGGCCAAGGGAGGTGACGTCGACTTGACAAATGAAGAATCACATTGGCACTCAGCTCCCTTGGGTTTGGCTTTACTGCCTGCCATTGCCGGGATCTTTTTCCAGAACGGGAGTGCCGTTGTTACCGACATCACCCTCCTTGTTCTCGCCGCCATCTTCCTGAATTGGTCAGTTCGATTACCATGGTAAATACACAGCCTTCTCTACTAGCAAGGTGCATCCTTTTGATTGAAAGTAACAGGGAATGGTATCGTTCCGCACAAGCTGTCCGACAATCTAGCGACAAATACTTCGAGGCTACTGAGTTTCCATTGAGTTCAGAGCCAGATGACAGCCCCGACTCGGGCGATAAAGCCTCGTCACCGATCGCCCAGGAACAGCACCGCTCCAACAATGTCAATGCGGCCACGAAAGAGCTACAGATCCACGAGCTCGCCGCTCTGGCCTCTTGTTTTATCTTTCCATTGATTGGAACGTGGCTCTTGCACACTATCCGATCGAAGCTCTCTCGTCCATCAGAAGGTCTAGTCTCCAACTACAACTTGACTATCTTCCTCCTTGCCTCGGAAATCCGGCCCTTTTCGCATCTTCTTAAGATGGTTCAAGCACGCACCCTACATCTTCAGCGCATCGTCGCATCGTCCACGGAAGACGAGGTTGACAAAGTCGATGTTCACAAAGTTCTCGATCTGACCAAACGTCTAGAAGAGCTCGAAGCTCATGTTGCCGAGACGGCCGCTGCACGACTCTCGGCAGACCCTGCAGCTCGTGCCGGGCAACCTTCGCAGAGCGATACAACTCATGCCCTCGTCGACCAGGCTACCGCCGAGATGCGCAAGAGCATCCAATGGGACATTGATGCGCTGAACCGCGCCGTGCGTCGCTACGAGAAGCGCACCACCGTCTCCACATACCAGACAGAAACTCGGTTCCAAGCCTTGGAGACCCGCGTGCACGACGCATTCTCCCTGGCGGCTGCAGCACATCGTACAAAGCCCCAGGGGCTGATCAACATGCTTACTGGGTGGGTGTACAAGGTCATTACCCTCCCTGGACAGATCATCACGGGCATCGTCACTCTCCCGATGCAGGCGGCCCGGCGTTGCCTGCGGTACTGCGGGGAGAAGGTGTTGACGAGACCGACCGGATCCGCCACGCCACACAAAGACAAAGTACCTAGGGAGCGCAAATCGCAGGCCTCAAAAGGAACGAGACGTCCTGCGCCGCAGAACCACCCGGTCGAGACACGAACGCTTGACCCAATCAAGGAATACAAATAGATGATCTAGGTAGATGCAGTTTGGAAGCCCACCGCGACTTTCTTGGCGGCCACGATGAAGGAAAGAAGAACATCCCATACTTCCTGGAATACTATTATTTTCGGCGGTAACTTCGCGACAAATCCTTCATGATTTTCCGGACTCGATTACAAAGACTCAAAACAACAACTCGTGAACATCCTCGGTAGTATAAAGAAAGATAAGGAAAGCCCTCTTGGCTTTCAATCATCTTGTCCCACGCTCTTTCAATATATCCACCACTATGTACGATGAAGTATATAATTGTGTACTGTATGAATACTGTCAGCGCTGCTAAGTAATCCGGCCACGTGATTCCAAAGGCCTTTTCATCTTGTTTACATACGGAACGTAGCTAGTTCAACCAACCAACCAACTATCAAGAATCATATCAAACACGTCCCAGAACCTCCCCTGAAGCCTCTCAGTCCGTTGACAAATACTATACAACAAAATAGGAAATCAGCAATATTCAGAAAAAAAGAGAATCAATCCCACCCCTTCGTCCCCCTCCCGCAGGATGTACAGTTAACCCCGAAATAATCCCAGGACAAACACCCATACATCTCACCATATGTTCTTCACCGAGATCGATAGCATTATTTTACTGTGTCATAAATCAAACTTTCTGGCCACCTACCAAGAACGGCAAGATGGCCGAGTGGTCTAAGGCGCTGCACTCAAGGACCACCTCCTTCTTCGGATCTCCAAATCCGAGGAGCATTGCAGTCACGCAAGTGGCGTGGGTTCGAATCCCACTCTTGTCAGTAATTTTTGTTTTTACACCTCAGGAACGATCGATCATGTTTACAGTCTGCCCACATCGTTTCGAAATCTTGTGGCTGATAACATATCGTATCATTCTGGCTAGGTGGACGTAGACGACATGCTAGCCGCGGAAAGAAGCAGACCTTGAACCCCCCCCCGGCAACTTGGAGATTATTGGATCGCTTTAGTCGATGGGTTACTGCGTACCCACGAGCGATTCAAGTGCGAGTGTGATGACAACCACTACGTCAAAGGGATTCTATACCCTGAAATTATACACCCTGGCTGTCATTGTCCTTTCTAAAGGATACCCGAGAAGTGAACGATGGCAGGCCCTGTGCCGCATAGGGTACGAGTAACGAGATCTTAATATATTCTCCTGCCTATCCTCATGTGCTGAACAGTAAGCTCATTGAAGAATGATCTCAGCAGGCAGTTGCCTCAGCAGCTGCGTACAGACTCGTCTGCAGGTTCCTTGACCCCACCACTGTATCCCAACAACCTGCAAATCACAAAACATTGCACAGTACGTGCAGCGACACGCGCACGCACACGCGCTTCAGTAACGCGACACAAGTCACGATCGAAGCTGATCGGATGAGGCGTGGCATGGACGCGTACTTTTGTGCTCACAACTTCTGCGCGGTGCGCGGGCGGACAGGCGCGGGTGAAGTGTCCGAGATCTGCATCATCCCTTGCATACGGCCGCTACATTTTTCGAAGTGGGGGTGGATGGGGAGGTTGGGAGAGCTTACTAGGGTTGGGTCTAGTTCTACTTGCTTGGGCTTGGTGTAGGGATAGGGTGTGTGTATGAGAGAGGAGATTGGGAAAGGGAGAGAGGAAGGGAGGAAGGGGAGTGTTCAGTGTTGAGTTTGTGAGGGGTTGAAGTGCAAGAGAGGCCGGCGGCGTTGATTTTGGCTTTAGTGGTGACTTGTTAAGATGGGCAGGATTGGGGTTATCGGTCCCATATACTTAAGAAGTGATATGGGGATCCTAGGACATTGTATACTTGGATGTGTATACCGAGTAATGGGGATCAATTAGGGCTTCGGTATGGGGGTTGCTGGATGGGCTTGGTAACGGTGCAATGGGGAAGAGGGATATCAGAGGTAGAGTTAGATGTGGGGTAGTGGTTTGCACGTTGATGATAGAGTTGGAAGGGCACGGTGCTGCTGCACTGCACGGCCTACATCCATCCGCTGTGCGTAGCATCGTGCGGGATTATACAATGCCGCTGACTTGTAGTCTTCCTCTCTAGTCTTCACATGACATATCAAAGTAAGAGTCTCATCCACCAGCTATAAAGAAACCCCTTTATGCCACGGAGTAGAATCGAAAGGGACAAGCGTATGAAGAAAGCGCAGGAGGAGCCAGGGGCGGGCAGGGTAGATGGCGTGACTAACAATGCGATCAATGGGCGAGGCACCTGGCACAAGGGGAGTGCCACCCCATCCCCGTGCAAGGCTAGTCAGTATGAGTACCCAGTCAAAGCAAGTGACCGTTCTCGGAACTTGAGACACGAGCGTCCTGTCTTCCGACCGTCAGGGCTAAATTACCGTTTAGCCACCAGAAACAACGTTACTTGCTATCCTTGCCCTGGCGAAGAATGCGGGTGGAGAAGGCTTTTCGAGGTGGATGCAAGGAGGAAAAGGGGCGTGTCGCTGATAAGATCGAGCGATAGGGGGAAGTTCAATCGAGATGCGCTGCTTTGGTCGCTGTACGGGTATCTGGGATCCACAGGTGTGTACAGGGATGCTTGCTTGCTTTGTCTCATAGATGACCGATGATTGTGGTTATAGTTGTGGTGGCTGCATCAGGTAAGGTACAGTACAGTATCGATCAGGTGCTGTGGCAGTCAGGCATTAATTGGTGGAGGATCCACCGACGCGAACTGGAACGCGCCACGCGCCACGTGTCTCGAAACCCCAATTTAGGCCGCTTTGGGAAGTCTAGATACGAAGCCCTGTGATATAATGCGGTTGATCATGATATGCACATATTGTCCTAATGATGGAGGAAGAGTATTGATGGTGCCTTAGAGGATAGGGAAAGAGTGCCCTTTTGTAGATTGGGTAATAACCCTGGAGGTAGAGGGGAGCTGAGTGGGGGGAATCCAGGTTGTTACTGGGGTTGAAGGAGGGTGTCAGATGGAAGTATCCAACCTCCCGAACACTGAGTAGAGGGGCGCGATATCTTCTGGAACCGCAGGTCACCAATGTCAAGGAACTGGGAACTGGGACAATCAGCATTGTCTCAGTAGTGTGGCCGACAGAGTACTCTGGATGACCATGAACATGTCACGGCAGCGGATCGCCGCGGAGCGCAGCCATGACTGTAGCTGCAATGCAACGCAACGCAAGTTCACGTCGTCCCACACTCTTCACAGCACGGGCCAGCCTGATGACAACCAGCAGAGCAAGGCAGCGATCAGTCCATGACATCGTGGTGGACACGGCGATGGACTGGCGCCTTGCAGACTGCAGACGGCATCCCTTCGCAGTGGCTCCTGCGCTCCTGTACTCCCTTCGCCCACTAGCAAGGGGCGGCTTTTTCTGCTCGCATCCACGGCCGTTGTAGCCGTTGTAGACCTTCAAAAATAGCCCATTCCCTGCCTTGAGGAGGGATGGAAGAGGGTAAGAAAGCAAAGTTCAATCCTAGTTCCTAGTTCCTAGTTCCTAGTTCAGAAGGGAAAGAGGGCGCAGGAGAGGGAATGAGGAAGCCCTTGTCACTATCATTCTTTGTTGTCCATCACTCTGATCCATTCCTTCACTTGATCAATCAGTGAGATCAGTCAGTTGATTGAATCAAGCCACACCAATTGAATCCATTCCTGCTTGACAGCTTGCAGTCAGCCATCATTGCAATCACTTCAACCGAATACACATTCATAGAGCCCATTCCATCAGGCATCAAATTACCCAATCCGGAGGGTGGTTTCATCCTGAGGCTCCTCCGTTTGCGGAACCGAGAAAAAGGGAAAAAAAAAAAGTTTGACACAAAAAGAGACCGACTCCTTTTCGGCGCAGTGCGCCGACATACATCATTCCCCCATCATCTTCCTTCGCACCCTCAACCCCCCATAATCCCGCCCGCCGCTTCGCAATTCTCCTCCGTCTTCCGTCGTTTCTTTCCATCAATTATCATCGTCGCTCTCTCGTCGCATCACTCGGAGGCATCTCCGACTGAAGCGCTTACCTCTCCTATTACAATCCTTTGCTTTTGAACCCGACATCTCGTCATACTCGTCTCAGGACCCCTTCCGGCGCAAAAACAAGTCCGACGCGCGCAATCCTTTCATTTGGCGCACAATTTGCCACAATCTTAAATTCGCACTCACCACCCTTACTCAACTCTCTATCGCTTCTTGTCACTATCAACTCCACCTCGATCGCGACTCGCATCGTATACATCACATCATGTTACTCCCATCCGCTCTTTCCTGCGACGTACGGCGACCGTCGAGCTGCTCGCGTTTCACTCCCAACCGCTCGTTTTCAACACCTCCCCCGTCCGACGACGATTTCGTTCCTCCAGGCAACGGCCTCCTCGGAACCTGTCGCGCATTACAATCACTTCTCCACGGATCCCCCGCGCCTCCTTCCCGAGGCGCAAAGTCTGAGCGTCTCCAAAGCCCTGTCCAGATACGTTCGCGCAAGCCATCGTCGCGCCAACACCAGCGAGAGACCCAACACACACAGATTCCCGCCTCCCGGATAACCCCACAAAGCCCTTCGTCTGGCGCACTCAAGCGTCGCCGCGACACTTTCGAATCGGAGACAGAAGACGACTTGCCCGCCGTCACCACTCCTGATCGCAAGACTGATCGTTACACGACATCAACAGATGAACAATCGACACGTTCGCAGCGCTTCGCCACTCCTAAACGTCAGAGACACATTCCCTACGATCTGCCACTCGGCCTGTCACATTCAGACTTCTATTCTCTCCAGTCACCGCCCGTATCGCAATCCCCAGCGTCGCCGGCGCATCAGCAACACCCAGCCCCCGTGGCCAACAATCCACGCGCAAGCGCAAGCGCACATGCAACAGCGCACCCCTTCAACCCCGACACAGCGCTCCCCTCAATAGAGGAGTCAGAATCCGCGTTGTCCACCTCATCCTCATTAAGTCCCGATCTCACCTGGGCCGAAGAAGACGACCAACGCCTCATCGGCCTCGTGCTGGAGAAATTTCAACTATCTCGGCGCAACTGGAACGAATGCGCCGAGAAACTCGGCAAGGACCAAGCCTGCGTCGAACGTCGCTGGCGATTCTTACTTAACAATGGACACATTGGCCTCCGACGCGCCAGCGATCGCAAAGTCCGTCGACGATTGGACGAGGGCATGCTCTGAGGACCTTCTTCCATTTTTTCCCTTCTCTACTTTCTCATCCTTGTTTTTTTCTTCATCCATACTTTCCATTCTAATCATCCACCCCTCCTTCTTTCACCAACCATCCTGATCAAGCAACCCACCTCCTTGACGGAGAGCTTGATCTATCAATCTTATCTCTGGATACCCAAAGTCCCTCGATGGGACTTTCGTCCAGCAATCCCAACTTTATCTTACTAATGTATCTATATCTATCGATGTATTCTACAGCCCACGCTTACAAAAGGGGGACACGGCTTATACGAGGCGAACAAAATTCTTTTGGGGTTCTTTTGGTTTTTGAATTCTGTGTATGGCTTATGGGATATGGGTTTCTTTTTTTTCTGGCGGATATTCCCCCTTCTGTTCTTTTTCTTTCTGGGTTCAGGGTTAGGCTTTCTTGGGGCGTTAGACACAAACTGATTTAAACGAGGCCCGATCTGGTCTCTTTTTCTGCCGAAATTGTTTTTCTTTTTGGAGTAGCTCAGGGTAACTTATCTAGCATATAAGCTATCCGTGATACAGTAGATTCGTAACGCTCTTCGTCGATTGCGTATCTCTCGGAGAGTCAACACTCTGATCGGAATATCGGCATTGACTTCGCATTGCATAGTGTCTGCCCTGGCCGGGGGACCGACATTGGGAAACTCATGCATTACATGTTGGTGCTGAGGTCGGTAGTCAGTACTATGTAGTATCAGTAGTAACTAGGGCGTTAATCTGAATGGGTGGGCGGCACTAGTGAGTGCGAGGTGTACAGCAGGTACATCAAGTGCTGCGCCCTACGAGGGGGGCTGGCAAGTAACATAATCCGCGCGGCCGATTCGTGGATTCACTCGACTTCCCTGTACCCAAAGACAGAATCATGCCATTTCTACCGTGAGCTACTGCTTTTTCTTATGGTTAACTCGATGCCGTAGGCAGGCCGATTTTGCTTATGCAATCCACCTTGACTTGTGCAGGTAGCGGCTTGCACATAGGAGCGGAACCGTCGCGCGATCCTTCGCTGGTATAAATATTTCGCTGGCCCTGCAGGAACCACCTCGCTTACATGGTTCTTTACATGATTCCTTGCTTAACCCGTTTCTTTTTCTTGACTTTATACCTTCGGTGATCATACAAGCATAATTATATGAAATTGACGTGCTTCGCATGCCTTGTCCGGCCACGGGCTGCTTACAAGTCCAACCGATGGCCCTAGGACTTCGTAGATTCTGAAGGCATCGGCCTACCTTGGATGTGAATATGTGTGGGAAAGGTCGTACATGAAGTTCATGATGCAGTTCTTGATATTGTCTCTTTTCACCTCAACCCAACCAAAGACAGAAGATTAAACATGCAGAAAAAAACAACGCCAAAACACCCAGCTCGATGATGTGGACCTAGAAGTACTAAAAAAAATGGTAAGGTGGAATACATGGATATCGGGTTGATTTCTTTCGTTTGCGCGCATTGGCCCGTTTCTTTCTCTCACTGTGGGTCGAACCGCTCTCGCCTGCTCTGCCTGCAGTAACAGTGAACAAGCTAGAATCTGCACGTCATCACCAGTTAGCCAGACACAAGAGACTGGGTAGACAAGTAGACTTACCGAATCTCATAACTTCCCGCCCGAGTCATATACCGCACCCACTTCACGCTGCTGTAATTGCTCTTCTCGAAGACCTTGAGATAGCGCACCAACAGCCCCGAACTGGTGAACATGAGCAGACTGAACGACAGGCTGAGCGGGGGCCTGCTCCAGGCCTTCTGGTGGGTCATGCTGGTCAGTGTCGCCTCGGCCGTGAGCACGTACTCGCTGCCGCCGGAGAAGCGGGCGATCTTCCAGACGATGTTGTTGTGTTCGGGCTCGTACTTGGCGCGGCCCTGGCTGGTGCGCTCGGTGGTCTTGGCCGTGTTGAGGGGGGTGGGGATGCGGATGACGACGTTGGTGGCGAACAGCTTGGAGCTGTAGTTGGCCTTGATGGCGACGCTGTACTCGACCTTGGTGGTGCCGACCTCGCGCACGATTGGGTGCACCTTGAAGGGGAGGTTGACGTTCTCCGTGGCGCGGTAGCGCATCAGCTCGAACTCCCCGTCCGGCGGCACGAACGAGATGATGCGGTCCGCGTCGAACCGGCCCAGCTTCACGCACTGGTGGAACTGGCAGTCCTCCAGCGTGACCGAGCCGGCCGCCGCGCGCGTCGCTTTCGTCGTCCCATCCCGATTGCCGGACACCATCCCGCTGCTGCCGCCGCCGAACGAGCTCCCACCCCCGCCACCACTACCACCCCCGGCGGAGTCCCCATCCAGCAGCAACCGATCGTTGAGCCCGAACTTGCACTCTGGCGTGCCAGACAGGTACGCCCGCATCACGATCTGCCCGTTCACGTCCGCGCGCAGCACCGTCCCCGTCGCCGACATCAGCAGGTTCACGTCCTCGATCACGTCCACAAACGCCTCGTTCTTGCGGTATTTCACATCCGACCGCCGCCACGACAGCGCGCCCGTCGCCTGCATCGTGATCCGACTCGAGTCCGTCGCGGAGTTGGCGATCGCCGACCGTACCCCTTCCGTCGTGATGTACATCTTCAACGTGTCGGTTTCCGTGTTCTGCGGGTAGCCATAATCGAGGATTTCTGTTTCAATTCCGAGACCCCAGTCAGCCATTTCAATTTCCGCGAGCAAAAGAGAGGGGTAAATCGGTTCGTTGGAAAGTCGGGGGTGTGTTGTCTAGTAAAGTAAATCAGAGAAACAAATGCGAGGGACCTCTCACCATCCAACAACTCGTAGATAAGCACAAAGTTATTCTTCACGGCCTCCTCGTCAAACTTCCCGAAGTAGCTCCGCCCCAACATCACCAGGCGATACAGGAACTCGAAGACCAGCGCGGCATTGGCGTTGCTCTTGGTCACCGCGACCAAGTAGATGTTCTCGTGCTTGACATGGCTGAAGGTGGTTGAGCCCAAGGTCAGGATCGGCGAGCGCACCTGCGGGTTGGAGATGACCTGGATGCGGAAGATGTCGGCCAGGCGCGGCCGGCAGTCGCTGCGGAACGAGCGGAAGATGAGATTCTCGCCCTTTTGGTTAAAGACGAGGATACCGGAGAGCATGGTGGAAAAAGGAAAGGGGACGAGAGTGAAGGGCGAAGATTAGCAGGGAGGAGGAAAAGCGAAGAGGGGTGAGGGGAATGAGGGGGAGGGTTGATTTGAAAAGGGGGTCTCTCGGTGGGTGCCGGTGGATGGAGAACTGCTGCTCCCTCTCGGCGGGCGGAGGTTCGTCCAGAATCGGCGATGGGGCGGAAGGCGGGTGTGGGGGAGGATGTGAACTACACACTATCTACATAGCATTCCATAACTTGTCGGTGGGCTCCTCTACACACTAGAATTAATTGATTTACATAGTCTTATACTACTCGAACTACTCAAACTACGCAATCTGTCCGTAGTACAGTGACCAATTTCGATCATTTCCTAAACTTGATGGTAGTTTCAATAATGGCTTTCGTCGCCCTGCTCTCTAGGCGCATCCATCCACGCACACTCAACATTTTAGGTACAGTAGCCTGCCTTGCTCACTTACTTTCAACATCCAACAGCACATCCGGATCAAGATACCCGCGATGATCATCAGGGGGGGTATTATAAATCCGAGGGAAGTGAGTTGTAGAAAGAAAAAACAAAACAATAAAGTAATAAGAACACAAAGGGTGGAAGAAAGAAGGAATGGTAAAATCAACAACAGGCATCTCGAGGGTGCTCCGGCTGGTGTAAAAAACCAGAACATCCAGCACTTTCCTCACGCAAAACAGTCAAATGGTATCGAACACTCTGTAACCAGGCATGGATATCGTGCATGTAAAAAAAATCAAAGGAACAAGTGGAAGTGAAATTAGAGTATGACTCGCAGCATCCTGCACATGTGCAAGGGGGCAATATATGCATGTGTGAAGAGAGCGATGATTAGGAAAAAAGTAAGCCTTCAGAACATCGAAGGCAAAATATGGAAAGTGAAAGAGAAGAGATAGAAAAGCAAAGAAAAGAAGATGACGGCCGTAAGTTTCACACGGCACCACTACTCGGGCGAGTTCCGGGCAAGGAGAGGCCACTCTCGCTGGGAATGATGCCAACCTTTGGATCCGGGATTTGGATATCCAATGAAAGATAGGCCGTCCGTCGCAGACTCCAGATGCGCACTCCATCCTTCGCCCCGACGTCTTTATTCCAGTTCTCCAGCCACGATTCCACGCTATTCAAGTGACTCTTGATCGCGGGGGCACCCACGTCCTCCCATAACCAGCCAGTAAGCAAGCCCAAGGCGCTATCGATGATATTGCGGAAGCTGAAAGGATCAAAGGCTTTGATGAGCTCGTCATTCACCATAGCAATGACTCTGCGGAATTCTTGCTCCGGAAGCAGCGGATCGAGAATCTCGGGATATAGATTCGAGAAAGTCGGAGCGAGATCGCCCTTGACCATCCAATCTCGTCGGATCCGGATAATACGCGTTGTGAGGAATTCTTCAGAGTTGATCGGAACATGCGGGTTGAAGTGAGGAAAGCACGGGTGAGCAGGGCCCCAAGCCAGTTCTTCCGCCATCTCAGGCTCTGTCTCGGCAGGAAACCCCGTATTCGAGGGCAATGAGGCGATCTGAGATTGCGATCGCAGTGAAACTTGCGACCGGACATGACGGGGCCGATCGTCCGGGTGCGGTCCTGGGCCGTCGGGCATGAAATCCAAGCCTAGATGCGCCCGCTCCGGGGTGCGTGGTTTAGGTGCATCCTGGGCGACATTCGACAATCCCAGATCGGACATTTCTTGCGAGATCAAATATTCCTCAACTGCGCCACTGCGCCTCTGGCCTCGAGGCACTGCGATGCTAGAGCGGCCACTCTCGGTTTCTCCTTGGCTGCGCTCGACCAACAGACTATTGGGGGACGGGCTGAGTCGACTCCGGCGTTGTTCGGGGATGGTCAGAAGCGGATGGGCGTCCCGATGCGCCTCGAGCGGCAGATTCTCCTCCGATGGCTGCGGGAACCGGGGGACAGTGACTGGGGTGATGCGCGGCACGTAATTGATGGGGTTCGCGAGTCGCACCGATGGCGGCCGTAAGATCGACGGAGAGATCCAGGAACTGTTCCGACGGCAAGAAAATTGGGCTTGGGAGGAAGTTTCGGCGGCGTCAACGTCGGCTGATGTGGTGGGATGGTACGACTCGAACGAACAGCGGCGGACGCGGTGGGCTCGGAGGGCAGCACGATCTTTAACCTCGGACGATGGTAAAGGTGGGTCCAACGGCGGCCTAACGGGCGTCGTAGTTGCGGAGAGAGACGACAGGGGTGGCAACTGGATATGGTGAGGCTGTGGAGGAGAAGCCGTGGTGAAGGAAGAAGACGTGGTGGTGGTAGTGAGAAAGTTGGAGTTGGGGTTGAAGTTGCTGGTGCTGATTGTGAGAGGCTGCAGAAGAAGAAATGATGTCGATAAAA